ATCCCAAATCATTTCTTTGTCCCAATACTAGAGAGCTTTCTTGTGAGTAGTGAGTGTTCTGTAAACACTTGTAAATTTTCTCTCTTAGTAAAAGATCTGCAGTAGTCCGAAGAAATAGTCAAAATTGACTAAACTCCGTTATCAATTTCGGGTATTATTTTTCCGCTTTTATTTCGCATTCTCACTAATCTGGTTATAAGGAAATTACTCGTACTCGATTTATTTCCCAACAAATGGTAATAAGAGTTTTTGGGTGTGAATTTTGTCAATTTTTTGCGAGATTACTATTCATTATTATTCACGTGAATAGTAAATTTTGTGAATAGTAAAAATTTTGTCGGCGATACGAATTTGTCGACGGAGATGTTCTAATACACGATGCTTCGCAAGAATTGTCAGAAACGATCTAAACGAAGCCATATTCGAGTGGGAGCGATGGCTGCAGACGAAGAGAATGTGAAAATTGAAAAGTTCGATGGTGCGGACTTTGGCTTTTGGAAGATGCAGATTGAAGATTTTTTATACTAGAAAAATCTATATCAACATCTCTCAGGAAATCAACCAGAGGGAATGAATAACGAAGACTGGGCTCTTCTCGACAGACAAGCTCTTGGAGTTATCTGAATGACGTTATCCCGCAATGTTGCTTTCAACATAGCAAAGGAAAAGACCACGACAGGTCTTATGGTGGCTCTCTCCAGTATATATGAGAAGCCATCGGCCTCAAATAAAGCTCATTTGATGAGGCGATTATTCAATATGCGGATAGCGGAAGGGGCATCGGTGGCTCAACACCTAAATGAACTCAACACAATCACAACCCAGTTAAGTTCCGTGGAAATTGAATTCGATGATGAAGTTCGAGCTTTAATTCTCTTATCATCTCTACCAGACAGTTGGAATGCTACTGTTACAGCAGTCAGCAGTTCGTCGGGAAACAGTAAATTGAAATTTGACGATGTTCAGGATCTGGTATTGAGTGAAGAAATTTAATGGAGAGAATCAGGTGCAGCATCAAGCTCCTTAGTCTTGCACATAGAGTTTAGATGGAGAACTTTAGAAAGAAATTCAAATCGTGGCAGATCGAAATCCAGACGGGGAAAATCCAGGACGGGAAAGAAAGATTTTACCTGTTATAATTGTAGCAAGAAGCGTCACTTTGAAAGAGACTGCCGAACACTGAAGAAAGATACCGGCGCACAGGAGTTTGTCAACGTGACAGAAGATACAGGTGATGCCATGATTCTAAACGTCAATAGTCCGATTGAATCATGGATCTTGAATTCAGGGGCATCTTTTCACTCCACCCATCCCAAGAAATCATGGAAAACTATATCAATGATGATTTTGGGAGGGTTCATCTAACTGATGATGAAACCTTGAAGATCGTCGGAAAAGGAGACATCCGATTAAAGTTGCTAAACCAGACCACCTGGACGCTGAAATGAGTGAGACATATTCATGGCCTCAAAAGAAATCTGATTTCTGTAGGACAGCTTGATAGAGAAGGTTATAATACAACATTTTCATACTGTGAATAGAAGATTACCAAAGGAGCACTCGTCATTGCTCGTGGTAAGAAGACTGATACTCTCTGTGTAACCTCAAACTTAGAGAATATCATTATTACAACAGATGCTGATGGAAAATTAAACCTATGGCACCAAAGGCTTGGTCATATGAGCGAGAAAGGGATGAAGACACTTTTGTCAAAAGGGAAGCTATCGGATCTAAAGAATGTAGATGTCGGACTATGCGAGGATTGAATCTTTGGCAAACAAAAGAAAGTCAGCTTTGCAAAGATTGGTAAGACACCCAAGGCTGAAAAGTTTGAGTTGGTTCATACTGATGTATGGGGACCATCTCCAGTTTCATCTCTTGCAGGCTCATTATATTATGTCACCTTCATCGATGATTCAACAAGGAAGGTGTGAGTTTATTTTCTGAAGAAGAAATTAGAAATCTTTGATACCTTCAGAAAATGGAAGGCCATGATGGAAAATGAGTCTGGTTTAAAAGTCAAGTGGTTGAGGTTTGACAATGGAGGAGAGTACAGAAATAGAAGATTCAGAGAATTTTGCGCAAACAATGGAATCAAGATGGAGACAACAGTTCCCATGACACCACAACAGAATGGTGTAGCAGAACGCATGAACAGAACTCTGAATGAACGTGCCAGAAGCATGAGGATACATGCCGGATTACCCAAATTTCTATGGATTGAAGCTATCAACACTGTAGCTTACCTGATCAACCATGGGCCCTCAGTTCCTTTAGATGGCAGAATACCAGAGGAAGTTTGGAGCAAGAAAGAAATAAATCTTTCACACTTAAGAGTGTTTGGTTGTATTTCTTATGTACACATAGATTCTGCTGAAAGAAGTAAACTTGATGCCAAGTCCAACAAATGTGTCTTTGTTGGTTATGGTGGTGATGAGTTCGGTTACCGATTTTGTGACTATGAAAATCGGAAGATCATCAAAAGCAGAGATGTTATTTTCAATGAGAATGTGATGTACAAAGACAGGGTAATCATAGAATCAAGTAGCTCCAATACCGAAGCTAAAACAAAGGAATTTGCTAAGTTCGAGGAGATTTCTGGAAATGATGTTCAAATCAGTCCTAAAGCAGTTCAAGAAGAACCAAGCACACCAGAACTGAGACGTTCCTCCAGAATTCCTAAACCAACCCAGCGTTATTCGCCTTCTTTGCACTACTTGTTGTTGATTGATAATGGTGAACCAGAGTGCTATGATGAAGCAATGCAAGTGGAGAATTCAGTCAAGTGGGAGTCTTCCATGAAAGATGAGATGGACTCGCTTATGTCAAATCAGACGTGAGAATTAGCTGAATTACCACCAGGCAAGAAAGCACTCCATAATAAGTGGATTTACAAGATCAAAGAAGAGCACGATGGGAGCAAACACTACAAAGCAAGATTGGTTGTCAAAGGCTTTTAGCAAAAAGAATGTATTGACTACAATGAAATTTTCTCTTCAGTCGTGAAGCTATCTACAATTAGACTGGTGTTGAAAATTGTAGCTGTAGATAATTTACATCTTGAGCAGTTAGATGTGAAGACAGCTTTCCTTCATGGTGATTTGGAGGAAGAAATCTATATGAGGCAGCCAAAAGGCTTCATAGAGGCATGCAAGAAAAACCTGGTATGCAGGTTGAAGAAGAGCTTGTATGGTTTAAAACAAGCTCCTAGACAGTGGTACAAGAAGTTCGATAGCTTCATGGGTAACAATGGTTTTACCAGATTCCAAGCAGATCATTGTTGCTACATCAAAAGGTTCGACAATAGCTTCATTATTTTATTGTTGTACGCTGATGACATGCTCGTTGCAGGCTCAGACATGCAAGAGATTATAAATTTGAAGCAAAATTGTCGAAGAAGTTTACTATGAAGGATCTGGGTGCTGCAAAGCAGATTCTTGGGATGAGGATCAAGAGAGACACAAAGTCAGGGACTTTGATATTATCACAGGCTGAGTACACCAACAAAGTACTCTCCAGGTTCAACTTGCAAGATGCTAAACCAGTAAGTACAACTTTAGGTGTTCAATTTAGACTCACCAAAGAACAGTCACCAAAGACGGAGGAAGAACTTGCACACATGGTGAAGGTGTCGTATGCCTCAGCAATTGGAAGTCTAATGTATGCCATGGTTTGTACCAGACCAGATATTGCTCATGTAGTGGGAGCTGTTAGCAAGTACATGAATAATCCAGGCAAGATACACTAGGAAGCTGTCAAATGGATCCTCGGATATCTGCGAGGTACTATAAACAAAGCACTTTGTTTCAAATGTGGAGATATGATACTGACAGGCTATGTAGATGCTGACTTAACCAGAAATGTTGACATCAGAAGGAGCACTACGGGGTATATCTATACTCTAGGAGGAACCGCAGTGAGTTGGGTTTCTCAACTACAGAAGATAGTTGCTCTCTTCACAACTGAAGTAGAATATGTCGCTGTTACGGAAGCCTGTAAAGAGATGGTTTGGCTCTAAAGTTTCTTGGAATAGTTAGGCAAGGAACAAGAAAACAATGTCTTGTATTGCAACAGTCAAAGTGCTATCCATCTAGCGAAGAATCCGTCTTTTCATTCTAGGATGAAGCACATACAATTGCGATATCATTTTATCCGGTCTCTTCTGGAAGATGTGATTTTGAAACTTGAAAAGATTAGTGGATCTCAAAATCCGGCAGACATGTTGACAAAGACGGTGACCACAGATAAACTGAAGTTGTGTTCAGCTTCAGTTGGCATGATAGAATAAAAGACCAGAAATGCTACTTCATTGATCGAGGTGTGAAGACAGATTAAAATCAGTCTTCAAGTGGGAGATTGTTGGAGAAAAGTCAAAGAAAATGTCTAGCAGCCGGCGGCTTAGACATTCAACATGGGGCGACTGGAAAAATAATAAATGGGCAACTATTGTTGAAATGGAAATGGGAATATTGTAACTTTAGTCATTGCAATTTTTAGAGCATTTACAAGATTAGTCCCTAAGCTTCAACTATAAATACTCTAGCTCATTTAGCTTCAAAATCATCCCAAAATCCCAAATCATTTTTTTCTCCCAATACTAGAGAGCTTTCTTGTGAGTAGTGAGTGTTTTGTAAACACCTGTAAATTTTCTCTCTTAGTAAAAGATCTACAGCAGTCCGGAGACGTAGGCAAAATTGGCTGAACTCCGTTATCAATTTCGGGTATTATTTTTCTGCTTTTATTTCGCATTCTCACTAATCTGATTATAGGAAAATTACTCGTACTTGGTTTATTTCCCAACACTTACAAATTGGGAATTTTGTTATCTAAATATATCATTTTAAAAAATAAAAATAAAAATAATATTTATCTCTTATTATTTATTAAAACGACATTAATTAAATCTGAAAAAAAAATCCTAAATTGTCGTGTGATGCTATCTTTACTTTAAGAAAGCTACTTTTAAATAGTGTATTTAAAGTTTTTAAAGGAAAGAACCAACTTCTACATGTAATCTACCACAACCACCATAGTAGTTTCCAGCTGTCATTTCCAGCGAGTTTCTTTCTTCTCCATCTGTTTCTCTGTTGGTGAGTTTTTTTTGGCTGTTTCTTAAAATTTGTGTAGATTTTTACCCAGATTTTGAGATATTTTTGGTGCTGTTATCGGTCGATTATCTGTGGCTAAGTTAAAAGAATACGTTATGGGAGTGGAGGAAGCCTCCGAAGCCAAGGAGATGTTGCAGCCTGTTAAACAAGACACGGAGGATCATGGACCAGAACCCCATATCTATGAAAGTATGATTTCTCTATGTCTATAAACACTTTGAATTATTCCTGTGATATGAGATTATCAGGTCATTGTTTCCAGATTCTGCGCTTGCAAGAGTTGAGGCTGAAAAAAGACTAGCTTTAGTCAAAGCATGGGAGGAAAATGAAAAGGCAAAAGTAGACAACAAGTAAGCGACAATCATCTCTAAATTTTGTACAAATCCTTGTTTTAAGCAACTCAGAATCCTTGGAAATGTTGAATCAGGGCACATAAGAAGATATCTGCTATTGGATCCTGGGAGAATACCAAGAAAGCTGATGTAGAAGCACAACTAAGGAGCTTTGAGGTAACCATTGAACAATTTTAACTAGCTTAGATTACCGAGTTTGATGAGGGCTTGGTTTTTTATCGGAAAAACTGGAGAAGAAGGCAGAGTATGCTGAGAAAATGAAGAACAAAGTGGCTGAACTCTATAAGGAAGCCGAGAAAAGAGCGATGATCGAAGCCGAGAAAGGGGAAGAGTTTCTCAAGATCGAGGAGACAACAACCAAATATCGTTCAACTGGATATATACCCAATATATTTCTAGCATGTTTCAGCAGTCGACATCTTCAACTGATATTTTGTTGGAGAAACTTTTTTCTGGAATTTGCTTGTTCTTTGCTTCTGTTGGTTTGTAAGTCGGACATTCTAATACAGGTGTCCATATTTATCCCTGTGTATACATGTGAAATACATTAATTCTATTTTCATATATCATTAATGCTGGTGTTTCTTCCCTATTTGAAGATCACATCCCACAACTTTTGTTGGTACAATGACAGCTGAAGTAAGGATTGGAAAAGGGCTGCAAATGTAACAGATCATATTCACGTGTGTGTATATATATATTAGAGTTGTGTATATGAGTTAAGGCCCATTGGCTAACCGTATAACCCATGGCCCGTGAGGGTTTTAGGCCTAAAAAAATAAAGCTCATTTAATTTGCGGATTTATTAGCCTGAATCGTTAAATCCGTGGGTTTAATGGGTATATCCGCGGGCTCCGCGGGTAACCTAATTAAATTATTTTTTTAATTTATTTTATGTTTTACGGAAGACAATTCACGTTTAGTCCAATTCATGTTTTATGTGCATTTTAGCCATATCCCAATTCACGTTTTATGTGCATTGAAATCTAAAGCTCAATTCACGTTTTAATTTAATGATATCAAATTTTGAAGTTTGAACATATTAATTATACATATGGTAACGTAATATAATAACATAAGCTAAAAGGTTTTCCATCTTTTTATATCGTATTTACCATTTATAATTAATACCATCATATATATAATAAGCCATAAAACGTTTATATACTCCAATAATTAATCATAAGAAAAACTATATACATACGTTAAAAAAACAAAAAAAATAAATCAAAGTATTAAACCATGTATAATAATAATTAAATTAAAAAGGTAAAGTAACATAATGCAAATATGCAAATAATATAAAACTTGAGGCAGTGTAAAAAACATACATAAATTGGAGTGTAAAATTAAATAATAAACTATTTGAGGATTATATTGCATTAATTCAAAAGTAGGTTTAACTACTAGCACATTAAACTTGTCAAGGTTGCCCTAACTCCCTAAAATACGTTGTTTGTGTGACTTATTATATATACGCAGTTATAAAATTTTAGGAACCATAATCTCATTTTTTTTCCCCTTCTCTTCGCCGTTTCTCTCTATCTCCCCCCCCACTTCTCTCCTTTTTACATAAACAGTAAATACAAACGGGTAAGCCCTTAGCCCACGAGTTAAATGGTACGGGCACCGGCTTAAATTCAAGACCATTTATGATTGTGGCTTTTTAAACCGTTCTGTTTAGTCCGAACGTCAAACCCGCAGGCTAAACGGACGGATAATCCGTATACCCAGCTCTAATAAATATCATGTGACACCCTTCATTATAAGCTGGCTCTGCCCATATTTCTAGTAATATTTATTCCCATAACGCTTTCTCCGAAAACACCTATTCCTGAACAAGTTTTGGTATTAGTCCTCTAAATATCTCTTCCAAAAGAACAACTTTTGTTCATGATAACCTCTGTTGAGAATATATCTTATCTATGATAACCTTCACCATGAACAATTTTGTTGAGAATTCATTGCATATAGAATAGGAACCATTAAGAAGAGTATTAACACGAGGTCTGCAAAGTTCTTATGTCTGTGCCGCGCAGACATTGGGCTTCGCAGACCGTTTGTTTTTTAGAAGACAGAAGATTTTCTAACGTCTGCGCGAGGTCTTCTTGGTGCATACATGGTTTTATGTCTTCAAAGGTCTTCAAACCTCTTCAAAGAAATTAAAATTATTTAAATCTATTTTAAAATTTATTTTAAATATATTGATTTATTTTAAAATATGGATTGATTTATTTTAAAATATGAAAAATTATTTTAAAATATATTGATTTATTTTAAAATATGGAAAAATTTATTTTAAAATATGGATTGATTTATTTTAAAATATGTATTGATTTATTTTAAAATATGGGGAAATTTATTTTAAAATATAGATTGATTTATTTTAAAATATGGATTGATTTATTTTAAAAAAATTATTATTGTAGTTGTATGAATTATTTAAATTTCAACATTATAAAACTAAAATTATTTAAATTTCAGTATTGCAAAACTCTTTTAAATTTAAAAAATCAGTTTATTTATATTTCAGTTTATTTTAACAATCTGCATACGTTAAAAACAAACAGTCTTCTTCTTACAAACTACAAACTTTTGGTCTACCTCTTCTGCTGCAGATACCTACAAATGTGATTCGCAGACTACAAATCTTTTACCTCTACAAAAGCAATCACCACCTAAGATTAATGCACGTCTTCACTATCCGCAACTATTTTTTTTTTACTTTACAAAGATGATGTATGACACACCGGAAAAAATAAGTGACATGATAATCTTGACTTCTTTCCCTTTACACTATAATAATAACTCTAGTTGAAGAAATAATACAATAGATATCGGGAGAATATTTTTCTCCCTACCCTATATGGGAAAGAGGGCCCACAAATAAGTCATCCATTGAAGGTCCTGAAGGTGTGTTGGTTGCCCACATTGAGTTAAAGCCTCAAAATTAAAATGGAATTTTCGTTGCAAAAAACTTACATGGCATCCACACATGACACCTGTTAGAACCTTTCCATTTTAAAACTCCAGCAGAGTTGAATCCACGTGGCTAAAAATCAGCGGATGCCAAGTTGAACTGCCACGCGGGTGTTACCCCGAGGGATAGATAGTGTCGCACTGTCGCTCATATCTTCTAGTTCTTCCACCAAACCTCAGATTTTAGTGCCCAGCTTCAAAGTTCCAACAGTTTTACAATGCTGTTCAACTCCTGATGACTTTGCTTTTATTTTGGCCTTACAAATGGACTGTCTATCTTGCGCCGCCGCTACCACCGCCGTTGTTGCTTTTCTCTCTATCAACAAGTTTCTGCTATTACCTTCCGTATCATTTTCGAGAGTGAAAAGAAGGTCGAAAAGGGTTTCTTTCAGGGTTTCCGCTGCGAAAGAAGAGCCAAAGCTTGACAAATGGGACCAAATGGAGCTCAAGTTTGGTCGCTTACTTAGTGAAGACCCCAAACACACCATTGTCAAGGTGCCTTTTTTTTTCCTCTTTCACTTTTATTTTTTATGCTCAATTTAGAGAAAATTTGTTGTTTCTAAATACCCATATTTTTAATTGTTGAAAAATTGCTTAGTTTACAACTTCTTTCAATGTTATTGCGTTTTGGTTTTTCAGATAATGGTAGAAAAACAAATCCTGAAGCATCTTATATTGAAATTGAGAAAGCATTTTATAAGAACAAGGGTAAAGTAGTGGAAGAGGAGGTCCCTTTTGATGTTGAAATGAAATCATCCACCTCTTCTTCCGATAGTTTAAATTTAGTTCGTCCTGTTCCAAAGAAGGGAATCAAGTTTGCAACTGATACTAAACCACCTGTATATGAGATAAAGAGACCGAGTGTATCAGGTGGGAAGGCTATGGATAGTGCAAAAGGAGTAAGCTTCCGAATGTTATCTTGAGGAAGCAAACTGTGATTAATGAAGATGAGAGAGACATTCCATCCAGTTTAAGAAATCAAATTTGTCACTAAGAATGAGGAATGAAAAGGCAAACGAACATTTCACTGATATGAATTTGTTGAGGAAGCCTGAATCGGTGACTGTTGATACCAGCCTCGATGGAAAACATGATTCTGATGATATTATTGTGCCGGAGAAAGAAGTGGAGGATAGAGTTGGTGATTTTACATTATTGAAAAGGCCTGAACAGGTAAGTGTCTGTACAGAGATCAGTGAGAAGTAGAGCAATTTGAAGATTTAGAAGTTGATGGGGAAAGGCTTGAGGCAGAGAAAGAAGCTAATATGCTGGCTAATGCAACAAAGAGTAGTGTCGAGGAAGAATTAGAAGGAAGAATTAGAAGCGGAACATAGTTCAATTCCTAAGAAACCAGAGATGGAGGATGACTCATTAATTGGTAATGCGTCATGTTATTCCATGATGTTCCTTTAGGCTGTGCTTGGTGTTGGTACTACGGAGGGAAAATTGTAAGGATGAGAAAAATTGTTACTTCTGTAACTTAACCATCTCACACTTTTGTATCCTTTATGCCAAGCAAAGCCTTAGTCTTTTCCCCTTTTCGTGCCATGTGTTACTTTTGTGGGTTGTTACCAAACTAAGATCAATGTGAAGCTATTAACAACCTTTAGCCTTCTGTATCGTCTTTCTCTTGAGGTTTATAAGTTCACAAATATTGCCTTATCTAGGGAGCTTAGAAACCCTTTGATAAGAAGTATTGAAGATTATAATTTTCTGTGCTTTTCAAGGAATGCAGTCAACTGAGTTAAGTAATAAGGTGTCTTCTGAGGAATCTGGCACTGGTCTCTTTTTGGAAGCTGCACTACAAGGAAGCCTAAAAGGTCAAATATATTCTTAAATTGGGATAATTTTTATTTAGTTGGTGGAGTTGTGATTAACAAAATTTCTTTTTTATAGATTAGATCAATCTGTGAAACCAACATCAAACACTGGTAAAGCAGAAACTGTTCCCACCAATCCGGAAGATTATGGTGATCTCCCTTCTGTATCGCCTCAGTAGGTCAGCTTAATGTAGCTTTTTTCTCCTTAAGTTATTACTGCACATTTTTGAAACATGACTTGGGATGTCTGATCATCTTGGCATCTCATACAATTCTAGGATAGTGATTGGACCAGGGCGGAAGATCTGCTTAAGACTGGACGTAAGGCTGAAGTGGAGTTAATAAGCTCTAGCACTAGAGGTTTTGTTGTAAGTGAAACTCATGTATTATGCCTATTTGCATACGTATACATTTTCGTGATTTGATTGCATCATCATTGGTATCTTTTGGTTCTTTAATTGGGTTTCTGCCTTACCGCAACCTGGCTGCTAAATGGAAGTTCTTAGCGTTTGAATCATGGTTGAGACAGAAGGGCTTAGACCCATCTGATTACAAGAAGCACTTAGTAGTCATTAGAAGTTCTGATCTAATGAACAAGAACTCTTCTCTGGTTTCAAATTCAGATTCAGAAAACAACCAACAATTTGAGGGGAAGTTTTCACTAGATATGAAATTGGAAGATCTTTTGAGGATTTATGATCAAGAGAAGCTTAAATTCTTGTCCTCATTTGTTAGTCAGGTATGAATATATATGAATTAGAATCCACTTACACTGTGTAACACGATTTTTGGATCGTTGGATTAACTGTCTTTAACGTTGAGATTAAAACTTTTAAATTGAGGATTGTCCACTTTTTTTTCCTGTAAAATTATACTCATTTCCTACTGTTAATCTCATCTATTTATTTTCACTGATTCAACGATCTAAATACGTGTAAAACTTAAAAGTTTTACACTGTGTCCACGGATCCTATCTAGCTCTCTCTATATATTAAATTGTCTTCTTTATTTTCATATTGTATATTGATTCGTGCTTAATAATCACAGAAAGTCAAAGTAAATGTGCTAATGGCCGACAGAAAGTTCGAAAACTTAGTTTCTCTGAGGCCAAATAAAAGGAAGAGTTAATAGAGAAAAAGAGATGTTATGGTGAGTAGCTATATGATTTTTCAATATTTACTTGAATATTATATAGATATATATTGCTTGTCTTCTATGTTTTGTATTTATTTTTTGTGATTTACTTTTTTGCAGTAATACAATTCCTGAAAATACATTTAAAAAGTGTGTATTTTTTTGCAAAAATGAGAGATGGAAAAAAATATTTTTCAAATTGAAGTCATGACTGTTCTTAACTTCACAAAACAATAACACTTCAAGCTCCTATGGCATTTCGTGTTGCAGGCCAACCTTCGTGTTGGGTGTTGTAAAATGTTGCATCAAGAAAATCACTTATTTATGGCCCTTCCATAGAATCTGAAAAGGAAGAGTTTTTCAGGGAGTTGCTGATTTATGTAGTTTCATTGAAGATGCCAGTTTGTATTGGAGGTGATTTTAAGGCATATCTGATTCAGAAGAAGTTAGGGAATCGCAAAATTGGCATGCCATTGACCTTTTTTGTTCCTTTATGCAACAAGCGAAGCTCATTGATTTGCCCTTTTCGGGAGGAACTTTCACATGGTGTAACAATAGAGTACTTCAACATGGGTTAGACTCGACCAGTTTTTAATTTGAAAGTTTTCTTAACAGTTGCCTAATATTTCCCAACGTCTTCTTCCGAAATCCATTTTAGATCATAATCCGGTAGTGTTGGATAGTAGTTTTAACTGGGGCCTCAAACATTCAGATTTTTTAATTATCTTTTAGAGGAAGAAGGTTTTGATGAAGTGGTCGAAGCTTCTGTGGCAGATTCGAAGAAGAATAATCATGGGGGAATTTTCAGCATGTTGCAGGCTACTAAAAAGAAGATCAAAATTGGCCTGGAGCAGTCATCTTGATGGCAGAGTCTATATTAGAGTTGGAAGTAAAATAAGTGCTTTGGAGATTAAGTCACAAGGAGGAATCCTATCTGTAGGGGAGTGGGATAAGTTGATTCAATTCAAAAAGAAACTTGGAGGCTGCTGATAGATGAGAGCATTTGGTTTTAGAAGTCGAGAGCGAGATGGATCAAAGATGGAGACAAAATACGAGGTTTTCACCTCAGTGCTATGAAAAGGAATAAAGTCAATGCTATTCATTCCTTGAAATTTGAAGGGGAGGTAATCTCGGAGCCAGAAAAGATTAAATCTATTGTTTCCAATTTCTTCAAGGCTGTACAATTCCAGTTCTACGTTGGAAGTCGAGGTCATCAATTTAGTTTTTGCACAATTGACAGCTTATCAAGTGCATGTCTTGAGGAATTTCAGAACAAGAAGTGTGGGAAGCAATTTCTTCCTCGGACAGTTCAAAAGCCCTTGGTCCGGATGGTTTTACTATGGGCTTTTACAAAAAGTACTAGAGGAGTTTAAAGGAGCAGATTATGAAGTTTTTTCAAGATTTCTATAGAGGAAAGAAGTGGGATCATGGGGTTAATCATGCTTTTATTACCTTGATTCCAAATAAACGTAATCCTGAGTCTTGAAGATTATAGACCAATTAGTCTTTTTGGTAGTCTCTATAAAATTCTATCTAAAGTCCTTTTAAAGACTCATATCTTGTGTCAAAGAAATTATTAGCCCATCCCAGTTTTGCTTTTATCCCGGGGAGACAGTTGTTGGATTGTGCGTGCTTAGCTAATGAAGGCATTGATTTTTGGGAAACAAGGGCTTAAAGGGTTGTATTTAAAGTGGACTTCCGAAGAGCATATGATACTATGGAATGGCCAATTCTTCTAAGATTAATAAAAGAGATGGGCTTTGGAGAGATGGTGTGCGTAGATCTCGTACTGTCTTTCTTCAGCTTCAATCTCTGTTTTAGTAAATGACTCTCATACAGAAGAGTTTCCTATGGCTAAAGGTTTAAGACAAGGTTTTAGTCTTTCTCCTCTCTTGTTTAATGTTGTTGGTGAATTGCTCCATTTGATGTTGTCTAAAGCTATTGAAGTGGGTCGCTTTCACGGGTTTTCTATTGGCAAGTCTGAAAATCCTTTTACACTGTCTCATCTCCAGTTTACAGACAATCTTATTATTTTCTGCCAGGCTTCTCTATCTCAAATTAAAAATGTCAAAAGAGTTCTAAGGATTTTTAGCTTAATGACGGGACTTCATCTTAATTTAGCTAAGAGCAAACTCTATGGTATAAATGTAGAAAATGAAATCCTTCAAGAATGGGCTTCGGCAATTGGATGATCAATTGGTTCTTCCCCTTCGGCATCTTGGCCTACCACATGGGGAAAAAAAATTCCGAGTCATTATGGGAACCAGTCATTGAGAATTTCAATAAGAAATTGGCAGGGTGAAAAGCTTGTTTATTTATGGCGGGCAGAGTGGTGCTTTTGAAGTCAGTTATGTCTTCCGTACTCATTTTCTTCTTATCTATTTTTAAGATGCCTTGTAAAATTAGTCAGAAGATCAATTCTTTGATGGCGATTTTTCTCTGGGTAGGTGGGGTTGAGAAGAAAAGAATTCATTGGGTGAGTTGGAAGAAAATTTGCAAACTTTTAAGTAATAGAGGCCTGGGAGTTTTTGATTTGAATCTTTCCAATCCTGCTCTATTGGGAAAATGGGTGTGGAAGTTTGCTAATGAAAAAGATTTGATGTGGAAAAAATTATTATGCAGCAAAAACAATGTCAGCTGCAATACCATGGATATCAAAAAGGTTTTCTCTCCCCAAGACTCTTGGATTTGGAGAGGAATTGTAAATAATTTCATGAAGGATGACTCTGTTGGAGCTTGCCTTAGATCCCTTGCGAAGTTTCATGTTGGTAATGGTAAATCAATATCTTTTTGGAATGATATTTGGATGGGGGATTTTTCTTTGAAAATCCTATTTCCTAGGATTTATGCCCTTTCATCCAATAAGTGGGGTTATGTGGCTGATTTTGGTAGTTTTGATTCGAATGGTTGGGAGTTAATGGATAAACATAAGATTGATTGATTTAGTGGATGACTTTTTAGTGTGGAATGGGACGGGTGATGGGTTGTTCTCGGTTAAATCATGCAGAAGTCCCTTTCTTTGCTTTATGAGGATTAATTTTTGTGGAAGAATTGGGTATGGTTGAGTTTAGTTCCTCCAAGAGTTGAGACATTCCTTAGCCCTGCCTCGTGATCCTCCCTCCTTGCTGAGTTCGTGGGCTGATTTAAGGGTCAAATCGTCTATATGGAAGTTTATTTCGGGGCAGTTTTTTGGTCAATATGGAAAATGAGGAATGACATTGTTTTTTTATAAAGGAAAGCTGGACAGATCATCCCTGTTTTTCATTGTTCGATTTAGGTTGGTGAAATGGTTTCTAGCAAAGTATCCTCAGGTCCCTATTTAGGTGGATTTGTTGATAGGAAACATTTCCCTGGCAGGCAAAATTTATGGTTTAAAGGTTCTGAGTAGGCCTGTGCTTTGTTGGAGTCCTCCTCCAGGCGATTTCTTTAAGATGAATGTGGATGAGGTTGTTAGTTGTGTTGGGATGGTAGGAAGTATAGGTGGTATTCTTAGAGATTGGAATTGCTCTATTCTCCTGTCTTTTTCAGAAAATGTTGGTCCTAGCCTTCCCCCTCTAGCAGAATTGAAAGCTATAAAAAAAAGGCATCGACATCTTTCTCTTATCAAAATGGGTTTCGAAGGGTAGGCTGATTGTTGAAAGTGATTGCAAGGCAGTAGTGGATTGGATTAAATCTCCTTCTTCGACTCCTATTTTCTTCTTTAATTTAGTAAAGGACATTATGTCTATTGTTTCAGATAAGGGGATTATTATTAGGTTGGTTCCTAGGGGGTTGTAATTGTGAGGCTGATAAGCTAGCAAAGAAGGGGATTAGGTGTTTGTAAGTCTTTTATTAAGTTGTTCTGTGTGTCTTTAGAAAACAGTTGTATTAGGTGATTTTTAATTCTTATGTAATCTATTTATCAATAAAATTCTGAGGTACTCTTTTCTTTCTTCCGCTAGTCGGTTCTTTCCTTAGAGTAAAGGACTACTATGAGGGAGGTTTTTAATGAGACCTCCTACTTCTATAAAAAAAAATCACTTATTTTGGTATATTTGTGGAGGTAAAAGATCTCTCAGCATTCTTACAATTTGTTAGCAATTACTATAATAGATGCTTTTTAGAAGAGAAGTTTTTGTAGTCCGGGTCTGGCAACAGTGTCATGCGGATTTTTGCTCCTCTGTGTTGCTTTTCCTTATGAACATATGCTTCTTTAGCATGAAGCCATGACATCCATGTCTGTGAGATTATAGGCCCTTTAATTTTTTTTTCACTCATTGTGATTTAATTGTACTAAATAGGTTGAAGGTGTTCCTGCTCTGATTCACCAGACCGAAGTATCATGGAATGCCACCTTGGATCCTTCGTCATATTTCAAAATTGGTCAGGTATTTGAGTATACCGGTAGATTAAAACCATAGCAAATAGAGTCACCTATTGTTTTAAGGAATGAATGACAAATAAGCAAGACCTGGAATGGTTTATATTTAGATATTCTTCATGATTTCGGATTGTCGAGCAAAATTTCACCAATTAGATTTCACACTGGACCGTATATTTTTATCGTTAAAGGAGATAACGGTAATTGACAAGCAAGTAGGTTTATGAATTTTAAAGTAATCTCACTTATTTGAGGCCATTTTTTTATTATGTTGTGACCCTCTTTTTCTTTTTTCACATGACAGCCAGATCCACTTATTGAGGCCTTGGAGACTGTGGTTGGTGATCATGATAACTTAGATGGAAGATTACAAGCGGCAGAAGCAGACTCTGAGGTTTATGTTTATACTTATCCTTTTTGTACTAGCATTAGGAATTACTTGTTTGCAGGGCTAATACTCACACACTAAATAAATGTCAACAATGGCCAGATGTAGAATCACTTATCAAAGAGTTGGAACAGATTGAAGGGATTCAGTCAGTAGGCCAATGTGGTGAATGTTAGATAGAACAATTCTCTTCAACATATTTTGCCTCTGGTTTGAGAAGTTTTACTAGTTTGTGGATTATGGGTCTTGATAGACATTTGTTTGTATAGTGTCCCTATTAATACATGTTAATTTTATTGAAAGTTGAGAAATAATAATATCCCTTGAATAATAGCTCAGTCATCATCAATCATATTTTCAGATGATTTGAAATTATCTGTTGCAATCGGTTTTTTGGTGCAGGTTTATATGGCATCCATGTTTGAGAATCAATATAAGTTACTTGCTCGATCTGGAAACAAAGTACAAGAGGTATGGTTTCCATGAACTCGTAGCTCCGTCAACTGTCTAGCATTCAGCATAAGCCTCTATGGGAAACTTCTCCGATTCTCAGAAATATAAAATTTATCATCAAAATGATTTCGAACCACAAATTAGTTGTTTAGTTTCGTTTCAGTTTGACCCTCTTGAATGATAAATATATTGAGCAGGTCATTGTTGAAGCAACATTGGAGAAGGAAGATATGAAATCCAGAATTCATTCATGCACAAATAGAGTGGTATAGGGTTCTTTTTTCATACTACGGGGGTATTCCACTTAATTTGGGACACCTTTTATCCCCAAGGGGTACTTTCGGCAGGGGACAAGAGAAACAACCATGGGGGGAGCCTTGGTGTTGGTGGGGCAAATATCACTATCAGCACGTTCCATCATGCTGCAATATAACACAAGCCATGTATCTTCCTTTTCAGATTAATTTTTATATTCCTTACAAAACATTGGATTGCTGTCTGATTGATAGTAACTTGTCACTGTAAAACTGTATCTTCTATTGTTCATATTAGTTTCAAGACCTTTTTGCAAACAAAATGTTCAAGTAATCTCTTTTGACTAACTTCTAAATTTTATCAAATTGAATCAAGGGAAAAAATAACATTCCTATTAGGCTAATGCAATTTTTTTTCTTCTTTTTATCATTTTTAATATTTAAAAAATACTATACTTTTTTAATAATTTAAAATAACATTCTTATTGGGCTAATGCCAATTATTTTTTTCTTTTTATCAAAATGAATAAGGAATAAAATGCTACAAACTATTAATCAAGTAATGAAAACGTAATTTTTTAAAGTCAAGTGAAGAACATGTAATAGTACTAATAGTACAATGACTAGAATGTAATTACCGTAAAAAAATTAAATTTGCGGAAAATGCATACCATAAATGATTCCTTTATTTGTTAGTAACTTCATTGCATTTCCGATTGGTACAAGGGGAAAGTAGGGGGGTGTTCACGGACGGTTTAGATTGATTTTTGGCTAAAAATTCATCCGATCCAAAAGTATAAATTTTTACGGTTTGAATTGGTTTGGATGTTTCTAAAAAAAATTAGATCCGATCCAATTAAATACGGTTTGATTCGGTTTGGATTTGTGCGGTTTTTGAATTCTAATTTTTCAAAAATAATTCAAAGCGGTCAAACAATTTCACCATTTCACATCCTAAGCTAACATCGATTGGAAATAAATATGATACTCAAACACTAGATAACACAAGCCAGCGTTTTATATAATTCAAGCTGTAAAGAAGGGGTGTTCCATGGCACAGATCTTTCATGGAGGTAGAAACCTGTATTGAAAGTTCCAAATAATGCTCAGGGCACTAAACATTTACAAATTAACAATAGATAGGTAATATGTAGGTAAAAAACCATGTTACTATACAAGAAAACTCGGATTCAGAGGTTCCGCAAACCTCAATCAACCTATCCTTGTCAATCTTCAGCTGGAAAGTATGGAGTTTATGTCAAAAACAAGTAGAATAGAGGAATAAAAGCATTTTATAGAATGATTAAATGTGCATTACCTTATGTTTTGTTGCACATAAGTAAAATGCCACAGCAGTGAACACTGGTCTGGTGAAGTCTGCACTCGCCTGCCTTGAAGAAGGCAGTGATGCCATAAACCGGTCCTTATAGCTGACATAAACATTAATTAAGTCACTCAAACAAGTCAAAGGTTGGTAAAAACATAAGAATTCATTTGATGATCAAACAAAAATGTCATGAATTTGTAAACCTAGGAATTATGAGTACAGCATAGAACATCTAATTTTGTGATTTACTCATTCAGTCATTATTTCAAGCGCACGAGTAATCAGGAAACGTAATATTGTAAACTAAAGATCAAATAATCTATGAAATGGAAAAGGATCTTACAGAGATAAACCCTTCTTCACAAAAGGAATCTGTGAAGCTTTTGGTAAGAGGCTTCAACCCATCATGCTGTAAAGAATTAAATATAATTCAACATCAAATGAGAAAAAAACGATATATTCTGCCTCATCAAAATAAAAAGATTAACTGACCGGGAACGCGTGTTTCATGTAGTTGGGACTGCCAGGTAAACTTGTTACTAAGCAAGACAGTTCAAGCACAAAGATCCCCCAAGTGTTCGACGATTTGTCAACACCAAAGGAAAATGAGGTTGAAGACCAAACAAATCAAAGCAGTGATAGACTTAATTTTTCAAGTGATATCAGGAGAATCATAGGTTCATCTATACCCGTCGAGACAATATAAAATGTTGTTCAAGATCAGAATATTAAAATACAAGAGCAACCATCGAAGAAAATTAGGAATCTGCATGTAATTGGCATTCTGAATCTTCATCAATTTCACACAAAACCCAAACAGAAAATGACACAAAAAACTCACATTAAACTGGGCTGTGAGCCGAGGATGATGCGGAGGCAGAGTTGTTTCAGCACTTGTAATTGTCACGACACTAGTTGTATACTCTCTATCTTGTTACTGCCATAAATCACGTTGAAAGAAGCTCTTGAATGGTTAGATGATAATCAAAACAGAAAGAAAGAAGATTTCGATGAGAATACTAGCTTACTGGTCTCCGGTTTGGCTTGTGAGTGACTAGTGAGGGGTTGTGCACTTGTGCTCTGCTCGAGGAGGATGAGAACATTGAGAAGAGGCGGAGTCAAAAGTGGGCTAAGGTTTGAACTTAAAGTTGAAACGGTGCCGTTCAAGTTCATACTTAATTGTAAGATATATAGGTTCGGTTTGGATCAGTTCCAGATTTCTAAACCGAAATCGAGCTAAACCGATCAATTTAAAAAAAAATTAAACACACTAAATTGATTTCGATTTTTTTCGATTATCATTTTTTTTGATCATTTTTAAGTTATTTTATTGGATTGGATTTGAACATCCTTAAGGAAAGGGCACTGTAGTGCCAGGCAAAAAGTAACCTTCATTTTAAACCCTTAATTTTCCTTTCTCTTAAACCCTAGCCACGTTCTCAGCGGTTCTCCTCCAACGCTCCAAAACCCTCTCGCTTCTCCGTACCCATATTTTCACCCGAGCCATGGGAGGCGGTCCACGGACCTTCCCCGGCGGCCTCAACAAGTGGCAATGGAAGCGCCTCCACGAAAAAAAAGCCAAGGAGAAAGAGAGAAGACTCCTCGACCAAGAGAAGCAACTTTACCAAGCCAGAATCCGATCCCAAATACGATCCAAACTAGCCGGAAAACCGGACCCCAGTCCGGATTCTACAAATTATAACCCCATGAGCCCCAACGACCACATCAAAGCCCTGGCTGATCGGTTCATGAAAGAAGGAGCAGAGGATTTGTGGAACGAAAATGACGGTCCGTTGAAATCAGAGGAACAGGAAAAGGAACGGTTACAGTTCGTTGAAACGGCTAGAAATCCACGGTCAGGATTAATCCATACACCGCTTAATATAAAGGAACCTATATCTGATGGTCGAAGAGAGAATGGGAAACCAAGTGTGTAAATAATAGTCAATTTGTTAAGAGTAGGAGCTATTCAGTTCAGGCTGACGGGAAGTTCAAGGTGAACGAGAGTTCTTTTGCTGGGATTCAATCATATTTCGGCTCAAAGGATGATTCCTTGAAGCATTTGGGGCATAATAATATAGCACAAAGAAGGTTTAGGAAGAATGAGACTTCTTCTAATCAATATAAATCTGATTCCGTGTCAAATGATAATTCATTTAAGCGTTCTGGTCCTGGTGGTAAAGACGAGAAGGTGAATTTTCAGAGTATTCAGAAGTTTATAAAGAGTAGGAATGCTATGCAGAGGAGGAGGTTTAGGAGGGATGACAGATCATCGGGTGATGATGAGTGGGAGTCCGATTTGGAAGATGGAGTGAAAGGAGTTGGGGACTGGAAGGATGTTAAGAAATCAGGCAGTAGTTCCTCGTTGGGAAAGTATGACGTGAAGATTAAAAGGTGAGTTCCATTGAAGGAACTTGAGAAGGAGATGGATTTTTCGGAGCAAGTGGCGATGCTTAGGAAGGAGTTGGAGAAGAATAAGTTGGCTGAAATTGAAGAGAAAATGGGGGAGGGAGAAACGATTTATAGTAAAAAAAGACAAGCTAAGATGTTGGAATGCTTCAGTTATAAATGTATTTATGGTATGTTTCGGTGATTAGAAAATTTGTGAATCTTTGGGTTTTTGTTTCTACAGGTTTGATGAATGTGGTATATCCCCATTGACAGTCAAGGCACTTTTGCAGCTGGATATTTTCAGATGACTCGAGTACAGGAGGCAACTCTTTCTGTTTGCCTTGAGGGTGTGTGTTATTGCTTATTGGCTATTGTGTGGTTCTGTATTATATTCATGGAACTGACTCTGTTATTCCATGAATTGTTTTAAAAGCTTGCTCTGCATTTGATTTACATTTGTTATAGAATTATAGCTAGTTGTTCATTCTTTGTGCTTTGGTAGCCCTTAATGCAAATGTGTACATGCAGTGGGCTATTAAAATTGATGTAGAAGTTCCTAAACTGTCCAGAACATACCTGATTCTGGAAGCTCAATCTATGACATGAGGTATTATAGGTAGTAGATCTGTAGAAGATGCAAGATTAGGTCTTATATAAAGGTGATTTGCTGAGGGCATACAAAATATAGGAATTTGAAGATAGGTAAACTAAAAATTAACATTGCAAATTGTCACTGTCGCTTATGTCCTTGCTTGAGATGTCACTGGGTTTCACATGGTCCTTTGGGTATAAAAAATTCTCTGTGGCTGGGGTTTTTCCAATATTTCCGGTACAATATTTTCTTTAACTTTGTTTCTGGTCATTATATTCCTTTTAACATGTTTTGATTTATTTGAAAAGTTGAACATTCTAAATGACAATCCTCGTTCTAATGTGAAGCAGGCAAAGATGCTTTGGTCAAAGCTAAAACAGGCACAGTAAAAACTGCAACTTTTCTGGTACACTTCCAGTCCTTAGTTGTTATAGATGAACTTGTAGTTTCTTGTTTATTCTACGAATTTTTCTTGTAAAGAAAAACAGCTTCCGGCAATTGAAACAGTTCTGAAGGATGTTAGTAGTAATACCGTTCAGCGGGTGCCTTCAGTATTTATTCTAATTCTTTGCCCCTCAAGAGAACTTGCAAGTCAGCTTGCTGCTGAAGCAAATGCTCTGCTGAAGTATCATAATGGCATAGGTGTCCAGACTCTAGTTGAAGGTACACGTTTCAAAGTTGATCAGAAGCGCCTTGAATCAGAACCATGTCAGGTTAGCCTATGTTTTAGGTCTGGGAATTCTTATAGCATAATAAAATGTTTAAAGAATCTTCTTAATTCTAATATTACACAATTAGCCTTTTCTAATTATCTAGGTTGAAACTTTCCACAGATAGTTGTTGCAACACCTGGGAGATTGCTGGATCATGTTGAGAACAAGTCTACCTTGTCTGTGCGTTTGATGGGATTGAAAATGCTTATACTTGATGAAGCTGACCACTTATTAGACCTATTGTTTCGGAGAGATGTTGAGAAAATTGTTGATTGTTTGCCCCGTCAAAGGCAGTCATTGTTGTTTTCTGCAACAGTTCCAAAAGAGGTTCTTTGACCTTATATTTTTCGTTGACAAGTCCGATTTCCTTGTATGAATCAACATAGATATGAATTTTGCTTGCTTATACAGGTTCGTCGAATATCTCAGCTTGTTTTGAAAAGGGAACATGCTTTCATTGATACAGTGGGGCTAGGCTGTATAGAAACTCATGAGAAGGTATAAATGGTGACAGGTTCATGCTTCTCTGTAACAATGAATTTAAATATTCTAGGTACTGGAAGCAGTGATGTTACATGCAGAATTTCCCTTGCTGATTGCAGGTTAAGCAATATCTTCTTGTTGCACCACATGAATTGCACTTTCAGATTGTTCACCAGCTTTTGAAGAAGCTTGTAGCTCTAGAACCGGAGTACAAGGTAAAATGTTTTACCTCTAAATTTTAATAGTTGCAGACTTTTTTGAGATCTAATTATTGTAGCACTCAGGTCATTGTTTTTTGTACGACTGGGATGGTAACATCACTGATGTTTTTGGTTCTTCGAGAAATGAAAATGAATGTTAAGGAGATCCATTCCAGAAAACCTCAAATCTATCGAACTCGTATCTCTGATGAATTTAGAGAATCTAAGAGATTAATTCTTGTTACATCTGATGTTTCGGCTCGAGGAATGGATTACCCTGACGTCACTTTGGTTATTCAGGTACATTTGAACCTAAAACTTGAGCACTTGTTTGGCTTATCATGCAGTTCAAAACACATGCATATATACATTTACGCTTCACCTTCCAAATATGATATTATTCGACCATGATGAGAATCCTTTAAATGATAAGATCTCTTGAACCTTTTTTGCTTCGTCCATGGGTTAATTAATTCCATCTGGTTATCAATACATATATTGCGGTGTATCCCTCTGTTTTTCTAATGAAATGATATGAATTTGTTTTACTACTACCAGGTGGGAATTCCTTCTGACCGAGAGCAATATATACACCGCCTAGGAAGAACAGGACGGGAAGCTAAGGATGGAGAAGGTATCTTATTGATTGCACCCTGGGAAGAGTATTTCTTGGATGAAATTAAGGACTTGCCTCTTGAGAAACTATCTTTACCGGATATGGATCCAGATGTCAAACAAAAGGTCTGCATCTAACTTATAAAGTATTACACTTCATGCATCAGAAGTATCTTCCAAGTGGTTGGTGCTTTTTTTTTGGAAGTATATACATTTTTTTTTATCACTAAGTTTTTTTATGGATATCCCTTCCAGACTAATTGGTGAACTCCATTGTAGATGTGCGTAGGGGTTATTATGTTACCTAGATTTAGGTGTGACCGTGTGAATGCCGGATACGGGTATGTATCCGACACAGGTAGAGTTAGATTCTTTTTAAAGTTTTCT